GCCTCCCAAACCTCCTGTTGACTGTGTATGGTAAAAGACCCCATGCATTTCATAAGGCAGCACTACAGTTCCTTAAAATGATCATCTCACTTCATGAGGATCAGCACGGCCAAGTCAGATATGGCAACTCACTTTCTGAGCCCTTTCTAATAAAGAACGGTGTGAAACAAGGCTGCGTTCTCGCTCCTACCCTATTCACAGTCTTTTTCAGTATGATGCTCCAAAGGGCCACGGCAGACCTTGATGATCAGGACGGTATCTACATTCGATATCGTACTGATGGAAGCCTATTCAACCTAAGGCGACTGAAGGCCCATACTAAGACCCTAAACCATCTTGTCCGGGAGCTGCTTTACGCTGATGACGCCGCCCTTGTTGCCCACACAGAAGCAGCTCTGCAGCGTTTAACATCCTGCTTTGCAGATGCTGCTGAGCTCTTTGGGCTGGAAGTCAGCTTAAAGAAGACAGAAGTTCTCCATCAGCCTGCACCTCAGGAAGTCTTCCATCATCCCCACATCACCATTGGCCAGTCAGAACTCAAATCAGCCCAACAGTTTAATTACCTAGGCAGCCTCATCTCCTCGGATGGTAAGATTGACGGGGAGATAGACAATAGGTTAGCGAAGGCATATAGTGCTTTTGGAAAACTCCATAAAAGAGTATGGCGTAATAAACACTTGAAGAAAAGTACCAAGATCAGTGTTTACAGAGCCATTGTGCTGTCTACTCTTTTATATGGTTCCGAATCATGGGTCATCTACCGCCACCACCTGCGTCTCCTAGAACGCTTCCATCAACGCTGCCTCCGTACAATCCTAAACATCCACTGGTCAGATTATGTGACCAATACATCTGTTCTAGAACAGGCAGCAATTACAAGTATTGAGGCCATGTTACTGAGAACGCAACTGCGTTGGGCAGGGCACGTCTCCAGGATGAAGGACCACCGCCTCCCTAAGATCCTGCTTTATGGTGAACTTGCCACCGGCTGCCGCAAGAGAGGAGCTCCGAAGAAAAGATACAAGGACTCCCTGAAGCAACAACTCAGCCTCGGGCATATTGACCACCATAACTGGTCCACTCTGGCCTCCAATCGGGAGGCCTGGAGACACACCATTTATAACGCTGCTGATGCTTTTGAGAAAGCACGCAGGATCACCCTTGAGGAGAAAAGACAACGCAGAAAGAATCGTGCCTTGCAGAATATACCATCCAAGGAGTCTTTCTGCTGTGTCTTTTGCAACCGGACTTGCCTCTCTCGTATTGGCCTTTTTAGCCACCAACGCGCTTGCAAGAAAAGTGGGTAGAGCCCTTCCCAAATCTTCGTTCGCGAAGCCTAGCCATGATGATGACTACAGTTCTTCATACATTGCTAAAAGCAATAATTACTTTGGAACTTTATTTACGTCTCTCATAATGTGACAATGCTATAAATTCAGTAAGTAAATGGATTATGTAACTAAAGTTAACATTCATATTTAACAGAATATAGCCCATCCAGACCAAAAAGATCTCTAATCTAGGCAAAAGTTTTCTTACAAGTAGTTTCAATGGAATTAGGTAGAAATTAGCTGTAACACTGTAGGGAGAATGACATAACTGTTTTATATCACGGTTCTTGTTATCAAAGGGTATTTTTTGCAGAGCCATGGAATGACTAGACTCTTTCAGCCATGTAAGTGAGATCTCTTGACCTATTGCAAATGAGACAGCACAACAGCAGTGCCTTTAACTTTTGGTAACTTATTTGTTTACTTCTGTTTAGAAACAGCTGAGTAAGAAACCTAGTTCTGCACGAACAGAGTATACAATGGCCCAAACATGTACACAGCCAAATGAAAGATAATTATGAGAAATAAAACATGTTGTTTCAAATCAGCTTCCTAACAAAGTCTAAAAATATAAGAAACCCTATCATATTAACCAGCGAAAACTGCTCTATCACTTGAAGGATAGTTGGGTAATTATTCAAACCTGAACAAGACTGGATTGTCAAGTGAAATAATAATTTAGAGTATTTCACGATAATGAGATAGATCTCAAGGCCATTAGCAGTGGTTCTTATATGGCCAAGGTTCTCTGAGAGAGAGAGAATATTTAAGTGAAACTTGTAGGAACTAGTTTGAACTTGTATATTTAACAGCTTAGTATTCTCTCCTAGTTTCCATTCATTCCTGGAGAGAAAGGTGTCTATCATGTAAAGACTGTGAAATCAGCCAGGCTCTCGAGACTGAAATCCCTGAGGGCAAAAATTAAAACATAAAATAATTAGAAAATTGAGCCACATTGAAACCCATAGAGTTTATATTAGGAATCTTTTTCTAATGAGATTTTAAGGTCTGGTTCAGCACCCAGTTGTCTCCTCTTTCCTGATTCTTTCTCTCTTATTCAAAAACAACCAAATCTTCTCTGACTTCAGGTTTGTCAAGAAGAATTATAGCTTTAGATGTAAGGGCTTTTAAGATTAGAAACAGAGGAAGGAATTACTTTTTCTCTATAAAATAGGTCCTGCTTATGAGACATTTGTATATGCACGCTTCATTATCTTACGTTTGTTTGCTTTTAACCACTACGGGAATAACTCGATAGCTGATGGTCAGACAGAAGCCAGCTAATCCCTGGAAAAACAGTTTCTAGCCTGCAGTTTATAAGGTACAGTAAGGCAAATGTGTCAAGAGTTGCCATGGATTAGAAATACTGCTTGTTTTAATATTCTCCTTATGATCCTCCTCCTCAGTACAGAGGTTTCCAAACACAGGACCAGACCTAGGTCTGGCATGCCAGGCATACTCCAATGAAGAACTCTCCTCTGCACCTTAATGAACACCTCCTGGGCCAACTGGTCTCTAGGGTGCTTGGACTAGAGTAGACTAGACTAGGGTTTACAGCAGGTTAAGCAAAAATGCTGACTAAGAATTTGTAAATCAAATATTAAAAGACCGATTAAATATTTTACGATCTTTTTACTTAGGCTCTGATTTGAAGTTCACTTCATCTGCCAGCCAGAGATCTGCTGAAGGTTAATTGATGGAGGAAGAGTAAATAACAACTGATGCTGCTGGCCCTAAGTACGCGAGGCATTTAGGAGTATTCCCAACCTCAAGTGTGCAGTCACTGACGTGCTCATTTGTCTCACTAGGTTAGTGTCACTAGGGCTCAGATATGTGATCAAATTACCGCCGTAAAAGTGGTTTAAGCTTATGTGTTTTCCCTTGTATTGTATATTTGCACATGTCTCCAATGACACCAAGTAATCCTTTAAATTGCGTTAATTTGATCAGGCATCCAAGTAACCAGTGCAGCAAATTGGAATAGGTGGCTATGGAAAGTAGAGATGATGCCTTGTAGAAGACAAATAGCTTCTACGGAGGACACAGACATCCAACAGAACCACTACTGCTCAGTCTACCAAGATTAGGGTATAAATCTCTACCCTTTCTCCTTCTACAAAATCAAGGCTTTTTAACTTATAAACATGACCTGACAAATTGCTTTAGTGGATTTTGGCTTTTTCTCTTTGTTTTTTTAAAGTGAAAGAATTAACTAAACTCTTATAAAACAGTTGTTGGTCAATTTTTAGCTACCTGACTGGGCTAATGTCACTTAAAACCCATCCAGAGCTCAAAGAAAAATTCAGAATCTCACCATCCAGCAAGAGCCCTCATCATATCTGGGGTTTGGAGCTGAAAATTTAAAAGCAATCTGAATATTTAGTTTTAGAAAAGGACGGCTGAGCTTGTGTCTGAGCTCCATTTCAAGAGAAGTTTGGTAAGAATTTGCACATACCAAAGTTCAATTTATGTAATGAGCAGAAAGAGTTATTGGACTAATCATTTTTAATAGAGATTCCTTGTCCTTAATACTGAGCTACACAATAGAACTTAATAGCTTGTGGCAAATACATAATTTACACATGGATTGTGTCTGAATACAAATGTATACATAAAATATCACAGACTTAATGAAGGTGCGGGTTTTTTACAAAATCAATTTAATTGATTTTGCTGATAGGTCCACATTTATATTTTCGTAAGCTTCATTTCGCTTTACCTGCACATGTGGCCTAGTCGTGATTTGCAAGGGAGGAAGGGAAAACTCTGAAAATGCAATTAGAAACTCGGCACACAGAGCGCAGGGAGTTTTGAAGTGTCTGGAGTAAGACACTTGGAAATAACACTCCACCATGACCCAGCGGTGGGGCTCATTTACAAACTACTCATCGGAAAAGGTCAACCTCCCAGAACGCTCATGACTATTCAGGGTGTTTTGCAGCATTTGAGCCCAGTGAAGCTGGTAATGAAGTTTTCCCCTTAATGCTGAATGCGTTTGTGCTGTTCAGCTGCAGTCAGTGGGTTACTTGTGTTTGGCTTGGGCTCCTACCAGAGCATGGAGAAGACAAGGGCTGAAGAAGGTGGCCAGTGTTGTGGCTGATGCACAACTGCAGCCAGGGGGACAGAGGTCAGGTGGAAACAGGGGTGTGTTTCAAAGGGAGTGGCAAGGGATGATGGTTGCTTTACCCTTGGGAGCACCGGCTTATTCAATGGCCCTGAAAGCTGCTTTTCACTACAAAATACGCCCACAGCTCATCCTCCCTCTTGTTAATATGCTGCTTTTTGTCATCAGTAACTCACAAAAGCTCTGCATTTTAGAAAAGTGTGGAGACAGTCGCTAGGGCGGGGCTGGCAGGCCCAAAGAGTGGCAGGGATGCCGAGGCTCTGCTGCCACCCGCCCCTGCTGCACGCCCCATGGGGCCAAGCCGGCCCGCCTTACCTTTGGGGTGCCAGGGGTCCGTGAACTCGTACTTCCCCACGCCGATTGTCCGCAGCATCTGCACCCCGTTGGTGTTGTCCGGGCCGCCCGCCGCCGCGCTGGGGGGCAGCGGGGTGGCCGCCTGCCCGTTGGTGGTAGGGGCGGTGCTGGGCAGGGCGGCCGAGGGCAGGGCTGGCGGTGGCGGCGGCAGCATGGGGCAGGCCAGGTGGCCATTGCCCACCGCCCCGGGGCCCGGGTGGGCCACCGGGCCCACGCCGCTCATGGAGGACATGCTGAGGGGCTGGCTGTTGGTGTACAAGGGCTGGCTCTGGAGGTTGACCACCATGTTGCTGAGGGGCTGGGAGGGCTGCGGCTGGAGCTGGTAGTGGGCCGGCATCAGCGGGAGCTGGGGGGTGACGTGCGGAGGGAGGGAAGGTGTGACACCGATGACGGGGGCCTGGACGTTGGCGGCGGGGCTGAAGGTGGGTGGCTGTGTCATCCCGTAGGAGTGCGTGATCAGGGCGGGCTGGCTGCCCGCTGCCACCGTGGTGACCCAGGGCGCTGCACCTGCGGCACAAAGGAAGGTCAGCAATGGTGGTGGGCTCGGCACGGGGTAGAACACAAATAAACACTCCCAGCCTTCCCCTCCCGCACCTGTGCCTGCCACCGAATCGCGCCGATGCGCCCCCCTGCACGACACCTGAAGCAGTTCAGGGTCTGGAGCCGTTCCCAAGCAGTAAGTGCATAAAATTGCTGCAGCGATGTGAGCGCAATTGTTAAAATACTCGTCAGTTGACATGCAGCATGTTTGTGGTTTTATGTATTTTGCACTTTATGCAGCTTAAGCGCACACTTCCAAGAAAATTAACCTCTTTTCCCGCTGCGCTTTCACGGCTCCCTGACAAACACTCTGTGTGTATAATAATGGTGCTCCAGCCACTACAAAGACATTGTAATTAGGCGTCTGGCATAGTAGCACAATGTATGATATGTGTCTGGAAGCTGGAAATCATTTCAGGTAGTTCTGGACATAAAAGAGGTCTTAAAGTATTACAGAGTGCCTTTTCCTCTAGTGGAGGCAGAGAAGGAAAAAAAAAAGAAACCACTCTAATGAACTTGCAGCATCTTAATACATTCATATTAGCCCCGGCACAGAAGAAACTTGAAGGGTCTTTACAATGAGAGAAAACCCCTTCTAAAGAATAAAGAAAGGGCTCACAATGAAGTCTAATTTACAGAGGTAAATGGAGATAGTGCATTGAATTTGCCTCCAACGATTTTCCCTGGCAGAATTACAAATAAGATTAGAAACTTACCTGGGTTTTCATTCTCCCTCATCTGTTTAGATGGAGGCTCATCAGTGTCCCAGGGTGTGGACTGATTGATGGGTGTCTGTCCCCACCTGACGCTCGTTGCAAGTCCTTGAGGCTGATTTTCAGTCTTGGAAATGCAAGGTGTCTACCAGAGAGAAAGAAAAATACAGAATAAAAATGTTTTGACTGCTGGGATTAATTACAGTTCCTCAAAGCTAGTAGCTTGCTTATTTGTTACTGTCCAAGAGGATATCCTCAGATCTTTAAATAGCATTCATTTGGGGGCTGGACCAGATGATGTCCAGAGGTCCCTTCCAACCCTAAAAATTATGTGATTCTCCTCCAGGCTTGCATGACACACCCAGATGGAAACACAAAATAGTTGACAAAAATACTTCTGGATATTTAATAGATCTACCATTAAAAAAAAAGAATCCTCAACAAACTACTATTTTCAGAAATAAGTTGCTTCATTTGCGATGTAAATAAACCCCCTCAGTGACAACCCAGACATAGTAATATCCATTCAGTCACAGCTACATAAAATGGGAAAATCCTCTGTTTGCTCAATGTCTTCTGAAAAGAGTGAGTTTTGTTTAGCAGGAGGCAGAACAAGAGAGACTTATTTACAACTGTAGGACAAATTACTGTAGAACAGTAAGGAGAAGTATTAGTATTTACTGTCTGTCAACCCTTAAAATTGAATGCCAATAAAAAAAAAAGGCAGCATAACATCATTGGCTGCTAAAGTGGGTATGTTGGCAGGTCTTCAGAGAGGTTAAAATAACTGTAAAGTCTGGGAAGTATTGGGGCTGAATAATCATCAAAGGGGATATGATCTGAAAGAGATCTCTTGATGAAGAAGCTATCACGTGGATTTAAATGCTACGCAAGCCCCCCTGCTGCAGTTTTAGGGGGATCTTCCCAAACAACCATTCCTTTGCTGAGAAAAGGCCTGTCAAAAACAAGGGTGCTCCAACAGGTCTCATTTATTTATGTCTGCAGTGTATTTGACTGCTGGAAGATTAAAAGTTTTTTTTTGTTTTGTTTTGTTTTTACTGGTGTCAGAACCTCTAAACCAAGCAAAAGGAACCAGCTGCCTGTTGCTGAATGAGTATTGAGGACTGAAGCCATAAAGAACAGGAGACCAGTCTGAGCGATTGCTTGTTTGCCTTACATCTGGGAAGTAATTTAACTCAGAGATGAGGGCACAGCAGCTCCATAAATGCCCTGGGTCACACAGTACCAATGAAATCTCTGTCAACACCAGCAGCCTTTTCCCCCATCACGAGTACCTCAATCACCCCATGAAAGGAAGTCATTAGCAGATCCATTTATGCCCTCTGCAAATACAGGCACACCTTTCCCAAGCCCAGCGGTCATTCCTCCTGTCTTTAAATCCTCTGGAGGTGCCTGCTTCCTCCTGCCCTCCCTTTTTCCCACACTAGCACCCGGGATCCAATGCTCCCTCCTTCATCCAAGAGCCTCCGACATCTCCTGACACCCACACCGTTTTCCACCTGAGCTTTAACCTCCATGGGCTCTGGGAGTTTTTGGTGCAAACCTTGATGGAGGTCAGGGTTTTTGCTGTGCTGATCTCTTTGCTCCCAGAAGCCACAATGGGGATTTTTACCCTCCTAGAAATGCTATTCTTTGTAAAATGTAGATGCTCATAGGGAAATGTGATTCTCTTTACCTATGGAATCTTGAAGTTAGATTGTTGTTTTTCAAAGCACATCAATTTATTCTTTTCCATAGTTTGTGGGTTCTGTTTTGGGTTTTTTTGGTTGCCCTTTTGGGTTTTTTTGAGTGTGTTTTTTTTGTGTTTGTGTGTCTGTGTGTTTTTCCTTTTTTTAATTTAATTTCTCCAGATTTTCTTTCTATTCTACTGGCACCAAGAACAATGATGTCCTGGTTTTAGACTCACAATTCCTTCTGTCCCCACTATTTCAACTACTTCTATAACTTTTGCAATTGAAATAAAAAGAAAAGACATAAAGAGAGGACATGCAGACAGTCAAGAGCTTTAAGAGCTCTGCTCTATTCATGGCGAAGAAAGGGCAGGAGGGGAAGAAATAAATCTCAGTTTTGAAATGCTTTCTATTTATAAATTGTCCTGAGAAAATGGTTAATCTGAATACCTTTAGCTTTTACATTGTACAAGGTCTTTGACACAGGAGGATATAACACTGCTGGTGGTTTACCAGTTCATGTTAGCAGTATCCCTTTGGATCCAGCTAAACTGTTTAACAGCAGCCAAAGCACTCTGCAGTAGAAAAAGAAAGAAGAGGAAAAAAAAAGCACCACCGGCAGTCTCTGCCTATATATCAGCTAAAATACTTCCTCCTGAAACACTAATATTTATCCTAAAGTAAAGCCTTAAAACCTGTAAATGCAATATAGAGAACTGGGCATTTTTAGGAACAGAGAGGAGGATTCATGACTCAATCATGCCTGGTGCGTTCCACATGTGGTATCTGTATGTTGCATTTCTTTGTTGTATGAAATGGGTCTTACGAGTGGGTTTGAAATACACACTTGTCATTTTTGAGTGGCATTGTCGAGACATGCAGTATCTTGTTTAACTTTGTTACATCCCCAACCTCCTTTAAAACACTGTCAATCTAAAATAAGAAAAAAATTATCCCTGTACCTTGAATAATACAGAACCCCACACATGCTACAATTTCAAAAGAACCCACATGCTCTGTACAGAATGGGTAAGAAAGGGAGTATGTGACACAGCTCCCCTAAATCCTACAAAAATCCAGTTGCCTATTTTGAAACTTGCTTTCCAAAAAAACTAGAGCACCAGATTAGACACACGTGAAACTGGTGAAGTTTTCAGCCAAGTCCAGATTTAAACTTCATACTTTGAGCATTAATAAAGAGGAATGAGGATTGCAGGTTTGCTGTCAATAGATGAGCTAAATTCTAATTTTTTCCAAATTTTGTTTCACTAAACATGCTCAGAAACCCTGCTTCTTAGACACTCAGTGAATTTAAATGCCCAAATCCAGCATGTTGCTTTCAAACTGTACTCCTGAGCTTGTATTTATTTGATCAGAAAGTGGTAGAGACCAGTTGGTATGAAATCACAACACACATTCATGAAACACAGACAATAATGGTGGTGGAAACAGAAAAAAACGCTTACTGAACTTCCTTTTTTAATATATACATACTTGTGGTCTCTGATCTAATTTCTGCGTTATTTTTATTAATACATGAAGGGTTACATTACAAGTGTTACATGTCTCTGATCCGATTGCAGCAATTACCCATTTGCGTCTCTGGAAAGCGAAATTATTTCCAATGTTATCAAACAAAGGAACTTTCTGTCCATGTGCTCAGGCACATGACAGCCCTCTATTTGATGCTTTTAATGTACAACACAAATGACCAAAAAATGGCCTGTATTATGCTGGTTGTGCAGGGGGAAGAGCTGTGTTCCATTAGTGATCCACAGACTTCACAGAAACTAATTGTACTATGTTACACTTTTATCTTTAGCTTTCATGTCAGATGCTTGTTTGAATTAAACATGGAACACATGAAAAAAGGAAATGCATTACAAAATCTACTGGGTATACATCTTAAAATACTGCCAAATGTCTATTTACATGAAAAGACCAGAAGGTTTCTAAAAGGTCTGTTGAAGCCTGGCTAGTCAACAGCAGCACTGGCTAGTTAATTGCCTGAAATTCCTGGCAGACTACAAAGACTACTAAACCAATCATCAGCATCTTTGTAGTAGCCCTAAAATGTTCAATTTGTGCTCTTTGTCATGGATAGAGTACTCTGAAACCAAATCTGAGGATTTTTTTCCTTCTTTATTTTGAAATCACCATTAAGAACCAATAAAATGTTCAGCTGAAGCCTGCATTTCACCACCTGCCACACTTTGAACTCCAGCAGGGAGCAGTCTCCCAGTTTTAAGGAAACTAACCACAACACAGATGTACAGGCAGAAGAGAGCAAGATGGAACAATTTTGGAATTACATGAGACCCACACAGACAAGTTGCCAGACTGTCAATTTTTTGTAGCTCAAACAGTCATAAACCATGGCCCATAGGCAACAGTAATTGGTGTACAGCTGGTCCACTGAACCTTATTATATTAAAACATTAAAAATCTTCAGATTCATGGGGCTTTTCAAAATATCCACAAGAAGGTTCATGAGTTCACAGCTATCAGTTGGGTGCTCAAGATTGGGAACTAGTAATTCAGTTCATACTGCATCAGTTTACATGTTTACTATTAGGTGTTGCAGAGGCATAGCTATAACTAAGTTAGACTTTAAGTCCAAAGTTTTACAAATCTTTGATGAAATAAAACCTAAACTTTTAGTAAGACCTTTTTTACATCAGTGGAAACATAAGACCTATTGTACTACTACTACTACTAGCAGCATCAAAGAGTATGTTAGTGGAATTAAAAAAATCCAACACAACAACCACAAAAATCCAACAACAAAAATTCCAACACAATCTTCCCCAGGCTCAACACCACCAAACACTTCCTAGGAGGTCCTTATAAACACATTTCAGCAATTTCCCCAAAGCTTGTGGAACTGCTGACATACATCCTGCCACGGATCAGAGTGCTAAGGCCTGTTCAAACAGTTTCATGAGCAAAAAGAACTAATCTGGGAAGAGGGATCCTATTTGTGGTTCCCAGCAATCAAAATTATTTTACTAAGGCCTTCATCTAAAATGATGGATGAGAAGGAGTGATTCTTTGTTCCAATTATCCAAAAGAGATTTGGAATGGCAGCTTAATACCAAATAATGTATCCAATATGCAACCCAGTCTATTCTCTCTCCTCATTGAAACTACAAAGGCTATGACACACGCATATATAGAGTAAAACATTCCCTCGCAGGGATTCAGATTTTATGGCCTGTCATGGCTAAAAGCCCCTTCAATTTAATGAGGGAATTCCTTTTAAAGCTGTTTTCTATTCCTCTCTCTAACTGGTAATGACTGGTGGCCCTGGTTGGGTTTTAAGTCTGCATGTGTCTGATGCTCTAAAAAGTTTAGTGGTCTCTGAACTGAAGAGTTTATGGTCTAATTTGTAGTTCACACTGTTAAATATTGCATGAAACAGGTATTATTTGTGTGGATGAGGTATGCATGTAAAATCTGAACCATACAGGGATAGATCTTCATCTGGAGTAGATTCCCATACTGCGCTGGACAGGACCCCAAGCATAATTCTGAGTTTAGTCCATAGCCAGAGAATCTCTTAAGGATGGAAGCAGAGCTTTTAAAGATGCAGTGATGACAGCAATATCTCCCTAGCACTGACTGTTGGCCTGGGCTACAGAAATGAAACTGTTGTTCTAAGAGATGGATGTACTATAATGTATTAAAAACCTAAGAGATATGGACAGGCCGATGTGCAAGAGGAAGAGAACGAACAGTCCTGCAGTAAAACCTCATTCAAGAACTTGCTCATGGGTGGAGAGAAGAACTCATCTACCTTACAGTTCCCATCACCAGGCAATTCTGCGATGACACAGCGTTGTTTTTCTCTTTCCAAAACTAATGTGGGAGCAGCAAGAAAGAGAATAATACAGTTAACTCACAGGAAAAATGTTATTACCCTGCATAAAAGACAAAAGCAGTCTTAGTCCCCTCTTGAGTAGAGAGAATAATTCAATACTTAAACAACTTGAACACCATCCAGCGATGAGCCACCAGCCAGTGTAAGCTCCGGAGCACTAAGGCACAGCCTTCAGAGACATGGCTTAGCAGCAGGGTACAGTCTGCTTCCATTTCTGCTTTTCAGAAGATTTAAGAACAGTCCCCAGTTTGAGGTTAATGACACAGGCTTAGAGAAACCCATGAGCACAGTGGGGCACATATCCATGTGATGGGTGCCCTTGACCCCTTAACCAAACTAGGGTAGTTTGGTACAGGATGCAAAACAGGTAAAGGTCTGAGTCGTGTCCAGGTCAAGAACTCCTCTAGTTTCAATTTGTTCTCTGAAAACCCACAAAGAAATAGAGTGACACAGTGGGCATCGATGCATATGAACTTGGAACACTGATCATGTGATTAACATGTGAATAACCAGTGGCTTTTGCAAGACTCATTAATCAAGGAGCAATTTGTGGGTACAACAGATCTCATGCACACCTTTTCCATTGCATGCAATTTGACTATGAGCCTTTAGTCCATAAATATGACAGCTTAAGTGAGCCTTCTTTGAGCTCTTCTGGCCAGGTAGACTGGTTGCACGGCGGTGATCTCCCCTTGAGCTGGGACACCTCTCAAGGTGGCTCCTTGAGACAGAGAGATCTTTAACCAATGGCAGATCTGACAGGATGCTAAACTAATACTAAGGAAACATTACTAATTCATGTAGCTACTCAATTATTATAAACTTAGTATAGGTAATTCCATCAGACATAAAGCCCTGGCCAAGTCTGAGACTAAGATTGGACCTAGCTGCACCAAGGCTCCATAAGGAGTTTGGAAAGCAAGCGGATCCACTCTGAACATTATAACTCAGCAAGAGGCTCTTCCTTACTCTTTGTATTTTTTTCACTAGATTTAGACTTTTGTCCAAGTCTGAGACTCAGACTGGACCTGGCTGCACCTAAGCTCCACCAGCAGTTTAGAAAGCAAGGGAGTCCACTCTGAACTTCATGACTCACTGGGAGGGTCTTCCTTATGCTTCTGCACCTCTAGTCTCTGTGCAAAACATTCTAACTTGACTCTAATTTCATTTTCATTTGTATGTTTCTTCCATGCAGTAATTAATAAAGTGAGCCTCACCATCAGCGTTTTTGAACCTTTGTAAACCACTGTTAAATTTTGTTAAGTTCCAATGAACTTAACTCAACTACCTCAACAAAATATATTGCTGCCTCTCTTGAGTGAGCTGCATTCCACCCATTTGTGGGAGTCCCATACAGGCACAGCACCTGATCCTGCTCCACGCGTAGCAGAGCTTCTCACCACCCAGTTTGTGAGCTGTTAAGAAGGCAGATATATGAGCATGTCCAGATTCTTCCCCCCATCAAAATCAACCCCAACTTTCCTGGATTGAGCCTTGGCTACCTTCAAAAATCAGACAGCCCAAATTCCTGAGTTTTGACAACGCAATGGAAGATAACTCCATACTGGGAATGGGTCAACTGCCGCTGTCTCATTAACCCTTTCTAAGGCTCACCATCCACATTAGCTGCAGGTTTGGGAAGGCAAGAGAAGTAATGAGATTATGGTAAAGAAGGGAGAGGGATGGGATTGAAAAAGTTGTGAACTGACCACAGGTGGTATTTATTTCTGTTTGGTGGCTGCATAGCCCAGTACAACCACTGCTCTCACACCAGTGCTACAGTCATCAGCTAGGAATGAATGCAGGACCATGGAATGACAAGAAGTGCTTCACAAATGCTACTTTGTATTCTGTCTTGGCAAATTTCACCAGCAGAGGCTCAGGTACTCACCCAGCTGCCTTCGTTTCTCAGCGAGAACATCAGGGAACGGAGCTGAGGTATCGAACCAAGGTCCCGGCTGCGACACTTGCTGCTCCAGGACACCAGGGACATCAGCGCACGACACTGGGTTCGAGCACAGAAGCCCCACTTTAGCCTGAGCAGAACCTCCTCTGCTAACACGGTCTGCATGCAGATCAACCCCAAATCAGAGCAAAGCTACGAATGCAAAATCATCTCACAACGGAGGAGAAAACGCGCGACATCCGGAACAACACGGCGGCTCGTGCTACAGAGAACATGCACTGCACAACGCGAGAGGGCTCTGAGAGATCCTGCAGGCATCCCATGGTGAAGGCAGATAAATCCAGTTCATCATAAGTGCTTTTTGTCAGAGGGCTTAAGGAAATATGGGTAATAATGGAATAAGTGCTTGTCAGACCAGAATCCCAAGGGTGCACAAAGGATGTTGCCCCTGTGTACTGGCAAACCTACTGAAGAACAACCTAAAGGCAGGCTTCTTGAAAACTAAACATTTATCTTGAATGCAAATGCTGGCCATGGCTAGGTTCAGAAGTCACTCCGTATGGCATTTTCATGCCAAATTTTCCATGGAATTCTAGTAATTATCCAAACAGGACTGAATTTCATTCTGGATCAGGGCCTAAAGCATTAGAAATAAAGACAGGAATACTTATGAAGTAAAAGGCTCCAATCCCAGTATTAAGTTACTGCTATAAAAGTTCCTTTTTTTTGTACTGGATGCCGACATTTTACATTCAAGCCCTCTGAACTCAGTGTTTCAATTGTAGTACACACTCTGTGGCAGGAAAGTGCATGTTCTCTGCCTACACAGCAGGCACATAAAAAGAAAGAAAAAAAAAGGAAAACCAATATAAGCCTGTGAGTGTTGAACAGTGCTGTGTGATATTACTGATTTATTAACTTGGCTTGATCAATAAGGCTATCATCAAGGGCACATTTAGTTTGCACATAAATTTCACTTTCTAACAAGCACTTTTGTGTGCTCACTTTGGTTTCCATAATCTGATCCAGGTCTCAGGAAGCTTTCTTTAAGGCAGAACAGAGAATTCTTTTTCTAAAAAAAGGATCAAAGTATACTCGGTCAACTCAAACAAAAGGACAGTCAGCACTGTAGAAACAGCATGCTTACCTTTCACAGCAAAAAGAAAAATAAGCCTATAGGTTCAGATTTATCACTGCCTCAAGTTCATCAACATCAATTAAGCTATTAAACTGTGGCTGAATTTGGCTCACAGTAATTTAAAAATTTCAACTTTCTTTGAGCGTCTTCCATCAGCAACATGCTAATTTAATGCATAATTTTAACTCCGCTGCCCTTAATTCAGTGTTTGTAAATAATTAAAAAAGAACTAAAAATCCTTTTGCATTTATATAGTGGGCCCCCTCCCCCTTTTTCTACTGCAAAACAAAGATGACTTTTCAATCAAGTATTTATTTATTCTTTATATCTGAAAGTAAAAGCCGTAGAAAAAACTAGGAGAAACTGATTTACAAGATAAAACAATTAGCTCTGGGATATGTACATTAAGACTAACAAATTTCACATCATATTTTAAGGAATGGAGGAGGAATCCCAGACATATTAGACTTTATTCAAATTCTACTGAAATGTTCAATTAAGAGCATCTTATGAAGGTAAGTTATGCAGTCATTAAAATTAAGATGTGAAAAACAGCATTAAAGTGCTACTTGTCTGAGAGACTATGCACTTTAATAATCCATCCCTTTTCCTACACACAAGATAACATCTGGCTATTCCTGTAATTGCTCTGGTCTTCTTAAAATTTTTGGTTGTGTAGGAGAAACACAAATGTATTCCACAGTAAAAAATACTACATTCTTTTTTGAACTAAAATTACATATCTCAATGATTCCTATTAAAATCTTTTTTTTTCTCTGCAGACAGATGAAAATGCCTTTTAAAACTCAAACAAGACTGTGCAAAAACAGCTCAAACCTATCCATCTCCCAGTTGGTTCTTAAAAAAAGGTAAACATTCCCCAAGCTGTTCTGACCGGACGTGACTGGCAGATCCTTTTTGAGAATGAGGTCTCAAGATGCAACCCTGCTTCCATTCAGATTCAGAGCTTTAATAACACAAAAAGTTCAGTGCAGGAGCAGGCAGTGGGGCAGTAATTTAATTTGATTTACAATAGAGTGCTAATATATGTTTTTTTCTGGAAACACAGTCACCATTTTCTCCAGTTTTTCTGCTCTGTATGTTTTACATCAAATCATTCCCATTCATTTTATTTCCGTGCCTCCATGCTACCTGTAGAAAGCTGCCCAGTTCTCCTGTTTTCCTTGGACTAGCATGACTGCTTCAGATGCCTCAAACACCACCCTTCTAAAAGATTTATGGCAAACACATCGCATCCCAAGCTATAAATCTACCAAATGGCTATTAGACATACTTTGCTGTCCACGGCCACACGATTTAAAGTGAAACTGATATTGGTACAGTTAGAGGTACTGTTTCTAGTAGGTCTGTCAAAATTGTGCTACCTTGCCACACATTTTTCCCAGGCACCTCACTCTCATTTTTGGGGTGTGAATCAGATGATCCTTCAGTATTACTCTGTGGTAACTTGTGATAATTTTTATTCTTTTAATATTAAATTCTTCTGGGCATCCAGTTTGAGTCATTGGACTCATTAAGAAGAGGAAAACCATCAAGGATGAAGTTTGGCCAAAGACTTCTGTGCTTTTGAAAATCCTCTGTTATGTATCTTTTAAAGAAAATTCATGCTGCAAAAAGCATAATACCTCCTACTCTCTTTGCTCATGGGAAGTTAACACAAACTAAACCACCTCTAAAAATAATTTCCCACTCAAGAAACTTCAGGGTGACAGGGAGAGACAGAGGGGTTATTGTGAGCCCTAAATAATGCAGGTTGGTTCTGCAAACCATGAAGGGAAGGACAAGCTAAAATTAAATGACCTTTGGTAGGGATACCTCACCTACATCAGCAAGTCGTTATCTGATCTTCCTAATTTTCCTCCTCTGCTGTTGCAGGTCATGGTCCATCAGAAGCTGCTATTTCTGCTGGGATGGGTGCAAGTCAGACAGTGCCCTCGTAACCCCCCAGGAAGAACTGCCAGGGAGGCCAGCTCAGGGTCATCACAGGTAAAACCCCTTAAGAGGCAGCATGTCCCCTGCTGAACTTGCTGTTGCTTTCAGGAGAGCCAAAGGGAGTTCTAGCTGTCCTTTGTGCAACCATTGCCTCAGTCAAACTGAGCTGTAATAAAGCTTCAATTAGCACACAAATCTATAAATATCTAACACTGCAGATCAAAATGGACAACTTTGGTCACAAATGTTGATCAGAGTGAGAGAAGAATCAAAATGGGACCACACACCTACTCTGAAAAAAAAAAAGGAATGCTTTCCACTCAACAGGTGGAGATCAAAATAATCTTTATTGTGAATCCAAAATCTCCTTTCTCATGTATAGCACAGTTTTTGGAGTGACTGTTAGCTTCAGACAAGCACTGACTGTACACCAGACTATCCAGATCTTATTAGAACAAAGCACAGAGCCTTATCTTGTTTTTTACATTTATTGATGACTCTGTGCTAAATTCAAACACAGATCACATGTTGATTCTCTTAAAAATCACTGAATTAGTAAGAAAGTTGAGCCATTAGGCAAGATCTTTCACCAAACATGCATGTTTCAGAAAAGGTAACAGAGTTTGTGAGATTAAGATGCTTTGAGAGGAGATATAAAGCTGGACTAGATGATCGTTGTAGGTCCTTTCCCAGTGAACAACTTCCATTTTAATCCTATCCTATCCTATCCTATCCTATCCTATCCTATCCTATCCTATCCTATCCTATCCTATCCTATCCTATCCCATCCTATCCTATCCTAATTCTATTCTATATAAAATAAGCAGATGTATATAAATGCATATATATCTCCCCTTCTAATACTGAAATGTGGATGCTACTAAAATAGTCCTCTCTGCTTCTTTCTAAAAAAAAGTCCAAACTTGTACTAGGAAAGAAAAACAAAAGGTAAAAGCTAACAGAGTAGCTGAGGACCCGCTTTTCTAATACTGCATTTGATTAATTATATGATTTGTTTTCAATGACTGGTTCAATCAATCCTGATAAAATTAACAAAGACAATGATCAGAAATACCAGACTAAAACGCAATACAAATTATTTGGTTCCAGGGGATCCAATCAAAGGAAACAGGATTAAATTAAGCGGTGATAGGATTAAGGAGAAGTTGCTGTATAAAGTCAGAAATGTATTAGTACTTCGGGCCATTTGCTGTGTCTGTAGGTTGCCATTTCCAGATCTTCCTAGAGTTCTCAATACACTTTAAACAAAATTGAGTTTCTTAGGTATCACAAAAGTAATGTGGAAATAATTATAGTAATAATAACAATGATAATTATAATTATAATGTTACTATTATTTCACAGTACCACAGTATGTGGGGCTCTTCCACAGGAGGAACCCTCTAAAGGAAAAATACACCCCCATACACCCTCCTCCCCCAGTAGTCTGTTCCTCAAGGAGTTTACAGTCCATGTGCACTACACAGAGATCAAGAGGTGACAGAATATCAGGATACAATCAAAAAGACAGAAAAACCCATTTAATTCTACAACGTTAGTGAAGCACAAAGATGAAAAAGCTACTGTTTGACAAGGACTGTTAATGAAACTTGCCAGTGATACAGCTGAAAATGTAGTTCTTACCTAAAAATCAAAGTAAATACAAGTAGCACAGGAGAAGTACTTCTATTTGCTGTGTACTAAGCTAAACTTCGAGCAGCTGACAAGGCCCTAAGCACTGAACAGAGATTTACCTTCAAATGCCTTGGGCTCATGCTGGTTCAGCTGGACCCATTAGTGACCAGCTGCAAAGGGACTTTGTGCCCGATGTGAGGCAAAAGAAATGTCTGGGGACATCAGAAGCCAGCTCATTTGGGAGTAATTCAGAAAACATAAACGCTGAGTTAGAGTGAAACCAAACTCAATTCCTGCCCCTTTCTTCCACTAAGAGAATCGTTTAAAAGATAAATGAGGGATGTGGAGAGGTAGTCCCTAAGGACTTTTAATAAAGCTACTTTAGAATGCTGGCATGCTGTGCTGCTTGCAAATCCTGGCTCCACATGCTACGTGGGATGAGGAAGGACAGTGGACTGGATGTGCTGCTCACATTGCAGCACAAGACAGAGGAAACCTACACTGCCATTGATCACACTGTGCATGCTAGGGGCTAAAGCAGAGAGAGGGTTTTCCCAGTTTTCAAATAAAGTAAGAAAAGGAGTGTGATGTAATCTGTACAAAAGGCAAAGCACATGTGAGCAGGTCAGATCCAAACCAAGTCCCACCCATCTTTGTCTCTTACAGAAGCCTTCAGGATCTGTATGGGAAGACTCCTTCCCTGTCACTTGGTACAGTACCAGTTCCATTTCTAGGTATGCACAGTTTAGTAGCTGCCAGCAGACATTGTGCCCATCCTGTCACCCGACAGGATTTAGTCACTCGTGATCACCCCAGGACATTCCATGCATGCAGGGAACAGATCAAGCTAAGTATTTTGGCAACTGAAAGCTGACCTCTGGAGTGTGTCCTAAAGGAAACCACTGGAGACATGAGACTAATTTCTGCTGGTCAGCAGGGTCGACGTTCACCCACAGGATCTAGTTTGTATGGCTATGGCCGTGTGTCCTATCCTTGCAGTTCACCATTTGCACCAGGTATTGATGCTGAAGAACTGTCCTTGCAAGACTGAAAATTTGATGAGCTGCTTTACTTACTGAGCTTGAGAAACTATTTAGAGAAACATCCGTCTCTCCCTTCCCGCAACTTAAAGACTTAATATTTTATCTTTGTTTTCAGCTACGACAGTGAATAAATTTTAAAGCATCAGCTCTTCTCAGGCAAAAGACATTTGGCATTATGATTAAGAATACATTATTTCATCTCTTCTGTCCCCTTAAACAGTTTCTTATTTTTATGTGCGGGCTTTTTCTCATGCTCTGCCTTGCTACATTCTTTTTTCAATCTCACTGCAATTTTTTTCATGAGTATTCTCAGTTTCATTTTCTTACTTTATTTTCCCCATGTCTCTATCTCTCTCCTCACCCTTTCTATCACGCTCTCTCCTAAGTGAAAAGAAAACCCAATTATACTCCTGTTAGAACTGAACTTTCAAATCCATCATGTGCTAGTGGGCTCAAAATTAGGCAAATAAATTCCCTCAACCCTACAAATTAAATTGAGTCTTTGCATATGTTCTTTTAAGAGCACAAAGATGTCAAGTATTCACCCAGCTGTCACAAAATATGATGAGCAGGCACTTTGAATTCATATAGATTTTCTAAATTGTTTGTCAGATTTAACAGAAATGCTAATGGATCCAAAAGTAAATTCTAATCTATCCTAAGTATCTGGTTATTATTTGTATTGCAGTAGGACTTGGAATTGCTAGTTGAGAATCAGGGCAAAATCTCAATGCATGTCACATACAAAGATCATTTGGATGATGTGCAGGTATTATTTTGCACTTCCTCAATTTTTATCTCATTATTTTAACCAACACCCTCCTCATAGGTATACTCAAGCTAATTTAAGAACAAAAGTATCATCAGCTTGTAAACATCATTACCTAATGTGTCAGCTATTGAAACCCAGGTCTTACTTTTGCTAAAGCCAGAAACTGTCTCGCAAGTGAAGATTTTGAAGGAAAAAAAGCTATCAAGAAGGTCAGACTTTGCCCATGTTTCATTTTGGTCGAAGCTCACTATAGAAGGGGAGCAAACAGCCTCAGCATATGGATGGGAACTTGCATGGAGCTGCCAATGCCAGCAGGTTGGACATTCCACAGTGCATCTGTACCTGGCCTGTGTGGGTCCAGCACGTCCCAAACATGTAGGACTCGCTACCCTGGCACTGAACACCTGTACAGGACCTCTTCAGTGGTCAACCTGACACACTCGGGGAACCTGTGATGGCATGAACACATCATGGGGAGTTGTTCTCTACGTACTACCCTGGCTGCTTGTCTAAGAACCTATTAGGGCACCGCATAAGGCAGGAGGGCGGCACATCCTGGCTGTCAGTGATAATCCACTGCCAAAATCAATACGGTTGGCAAGCTTGCTTCATGGATATTAATGATCACAGAGCACATTTCCCAAGAATGTGTTGTCAGTCCCATTGTCCAATTTCAACTCCAGTAATTACATTTCTGCCTGCCTAATATTCCCCTGTCGCTTTGAGGAGATGCGGGAGCCCTCTCATCCAGACCCACGTTGCTTCAAGGAATCATGGCCACGTTGAGTACCAAGCTGGACACGTGGACACAGCTTTCCCTGTTTGTATTTTACACAGCAGTTACTACCTTAGCAGCTTTGTGATTCTTAAAGAGGTGAAAAGTGTAAGATACTGTTGTTGCTGTTATTTAAAAAATGATTTATTTCCTTCTGGAACTAGTCATCTTGAGACATCTTTTAATTTCCTTCTCTTTCATGAGTAGATTTGTACATTTAAAATATTTACCAAAGGTTGTGCTAGGTAGGTCTCAGTTTTGTTTTCTTTTTTATTTCACTAATAAAAGTAAAATATCCATAAAATGTGACTGTCTACAGCTTTTCAATACTCAGCTTCAGGGAGTTCAAGCCCTTTCAGATCTAGCCAGGAGAGCTAACTCCACTGGCAAACTAAAAATCTGCCTTTCTCAGTGGAATAAAACTCCTGTTTACAGCTGTATAGGGCATAAACAGGAGGTTTTAAACTTGTGACATTTCCATGTCTGGAAAAGCTGTCACTCGCCCAGCACAGCATCTTACCTTGAGCTGTAAGCCCAGGGACATCAGTAGCATTAGCTCAGCTGTAAGATTACCAGAGGGAAAGAATGGTGTAGCTAAAACACTTCAAAAGCCTCCAAAAAGTCTTTCCTATATTCAGAAAACAGAAGTTTCCTCGATGGGAAGGGACCTGTATTTCCAGCTGTATGTGCCTTCAATCTTGCTTCTCAAAAATTTCTTGGTAGTGCTCAACTGACCAACTCCTGCCCATGGGAATCCTTCTTGGGAAAGATCTCTGAATGCACAAAGTGAGGGAAAGCACTGGGGTTTAACATTTTTAAA